AAATTCAAATTAAGTAGTTTTCTTAGTTAAATGGGTATACTCATAAATTTCAAAAATCAAAATTTAGATGAATAATTTGTAAAGCAAAAACATAGGTGAGCATACTTTAATATCCTACTGTTCCTACTACAATAAAATTAATATCGTGTCAACATTTCCCAAATCCAAATATTTACAGGTGACATTCCTTTGTCAGTAACATATTGGTTATATCAACAGCATTTAGTTCCACAAACGTATAAGTATAACCGAAGTAGAACAAATTTGCTTTCTCTGACGGTAGTAGAATTGGCACCTACTTTTTTTAGTGTGTGTGATTTAACCGTTAATGTGGCCACGTTCGATCAATTTTGATAAGTTGGTTCAAAAACTATATCAAGCCRATGCTACAAATAATCATTTACAACACACAGGAACATATGTTTGATGATATATGGGTTTATTGTTACAGAAGCAGCTAAGTATATTTATATGATTTTTGGTCTTGTCTGCAGGTGGTTTTATTATAATACAATTAATATAGGTAGTACCTATACGTTTGGAAGTTTCAATCCTATAACGATGATATATCCAATATATGTATACAGCAACCGAATACTTAGTTATTACTTTATTAGTTTAATCATACAACATAATGTTACTCCAACTAATCTATGGATGGAGCCACAGCGTATTAATCGGTATTATACCAATTACCAATACAAAAGAATGAAGCCGATATTAGCGACGAGCCACGGAATTAGGGGTTCGATATRCGCATGCGTGATGTAATTCGTCGCTTATTTATCCACGAGTTATATTATTATATTTTTCCCTTGAGTACGGCCTATGGATAATTATGCAATGAAATATATCGCGCATGCCCATATCGAACACCTAAATTGCTAAATCAGAGACTCGTCGCTAATATAGGCTTCAAAATAATACGCCGTGGCGCTATCCGTAGTATATGATCTAAGATCTAACCTCACATAGAGAGCTCAAACACTTCATAGCAAAAAAAACTTTTTTGTCGTTTTTAAGTGGATTGATTAATAATTATTGTCATAGGATTTACTTACGATGAAGTATTTCTTAGGAATGACGTTGTCTTGAATAAAAGATATTTGCGTTGATTTTTTCATCAATGACAATGAATTTTTATCGTTTGAAGTCAAAAAATATATTGCGAAGTCAAAACCTTTAAGCAAATATGGTTGTGTTTTGATTAAATCTGGAAGAACGAAGTTAGTTAGAATACAATATTATATTATATATGCAAATAAAGGAACAACGTTTACCTTCTTCAAAATCAATTTGATATTTCGTTGCTATATAATTATCACGATGTTCCATATTTTCAACTAAGTATTGGGCGTTTTCTTTGTTCGCTTCGTCGTAAAATACTAYTACTTTATATATAGTCTTTTCCGCTGTAAACATCGTAAATAAAAACACACACATAAACAACATGTAAATAAATATAGAAATAAAAAAGTAATGAAATACATTATATTGTCGTATTTTATTGTTCTCGTAAATATAGTTTAAAAAAACCTTACATAGCGGATATTTATCACTTTCTAATTTTTTCTTCAACTTTTGATGCGACCAGTAGAACCATCGGCGTTTCGAAACGATAAAAATTAACGCAACCATAACAAAAATGATCAATTTAAGGTCTCTTTGCACTTTTTTATCGCATTGTTCGTAGTTAAACACTAAAAAATATAAACAAAAAAAGCATATATTATTGACAATCGATCCAGTTATAATATACATAAAATGATGTAATGTTTAACTATTTAAAATTTGAAAATAATTCATCATCGGATTGACGTATTGTAGTTGGAAAAATATT